CCTAGATGCTAAGTCTGCCGACGACGATTGTATGTTCTCTCGTGTCTTCATGCATGTCCAGGGGTGCCTGAAGCAATGTGAAGCGGCGGGGGCAGCCACTTCAAAAGGGCACCTGCTTCTCAGCCATCATGCATTTTTCTGGGCGGCAATATTTTTTAAAACGTTATTGTATGGATAGCCGACTACTTTGGCTATTGTGCAATTGGATCGGCAAACTTCGACATTAATTTTGAACAATTTTATTTGTTGCACCAGATTGCACCATGTTAAGCGCGCAAAATTAAATCAGTAAACGGAGGTACATTGCCTGATTTAGCATTAATCAGGGGCCGCGGAACCGGGGGCAATGGGGGCATGTGCCTCCCCACTAGTTTTTAAAAGTGAAAAATGCCCTTTTTGGGGGCTAGAAAGAAAGTGCCCTTTTTGCATTTCTGACGTTATTTTCTGGATTCCATTTTTGTTCGGCTCGTGAACGACATAAAATCGTTTGATTTTGATCATAATTATACAAAAGTGATTCCGCGGCCTCTGGCATTAATTTTACTATAACTGGTTAAAATTAAGCAAACATTGCTTAAACATTGCAATAGTGATAAATTCCAATTCATGTGAATAACACACAAATATCGAAGCGCAGTTCTGGCGAAAAAGGGCAACCTGTTGCCCCTCTGCCGCCCTCGCACTTTTTCGCAACGGGGGCAGTTGCCCCCGTGGCTCCGGCGCCCCTGTGCATGTCAGATTTCTGATTGTTTTTTTCTCTTCATTTTCTAGTACGTTACTCCCACAACGCTAACAGCGAGGCAGCAAAGATTGAGCCCGACCTGCTCTCACTTCTTAAGGACTTAAAACAAAATAATCATTTAAACAACACTTTACTGATAGTCATGGGAGATCATGGCAATCGCTATGGCAAAGCACGTACGTTGATGCAGGGAAAACTAGAAGAAAGACTTCCACTATTTTCATTGACATTTCCATCATGGTTTCTAGAAAAATATCCAGGGATTTCCAAGAATCTGAAAATAAATACCAATCGTCTGACGTCATGGTATGACGTGTACGCTACATTTCGTCACATGATTAGTTACCCAGACGTCCCTACAAACCTGAAACATGGTCAAAGTTTGTTTACAGAAGTTCCTTCATCACGCACCTGTGCTGAAGCTAGTGTTGAAAAACATTGGTGTCCATGTTTAGAGTGGGCAAGTGTAGCTCCAGGACATAGTCATGTAAACAATTCAGCACTCGCGGCAGTAGAGTTCATGAACAATGCTAATCTTGAACATCAACTGAGCGCTAACAACTGTCGAAAGTTAACACTGAAAGACATAAACTACGCTTTGTTAGAACGACCAAATGACAAACTTTTATCATTTAAACAAACAAATGATTTACTGCCCGCATTTAGCAATAAATCAAGACCGCATCATAAAGATTTTTGTCGCTATCAAATACAGTTCACGACCTCCCCAAATAACGGCATATACGAAGCAACAGTACGATATCACAAGGAATGGTTTATTGTAAGCAAGGGTATTAGTAGAGTGAACAAATACGGTAATCAACCAGAATGCATCGCGAGAGATCTACCACATTTACGAAAATTTTGCATGTGTAAAAAGAAAGCTGTTAATGCGCATGCATCCAAAGATATCTTTCTGGTTCTTGTAAAATGTAGTTAGCAACTATACTTCATACTAGCTTGGTATCTATTTGTAATTTTTATGTCAATTTTATTAATTATTTAACTTAATTAATGTTTAAAAAACCTTTTGTTTTTGATTAAGTTACTGATTTTAATTTATTAGTCTTGTGTATGTGTGAATAAAAATTGTGATTTTAAGTTAAGGATAGATACGACAACGTTTAGACAGATTTTACTCGAAATTCGAGATGGCGGATTTGAACCAGAAATGTACTAATATGGTTGAATAATTTATTTATTTATTTTATTTACCCCAAAACAGGAAGGGCGCACCCACAGAGCCGAAGCTCCAATAACGGGTTCCCCGCGTGAGTTGTAAAATACATAGAAATATTGTATACAAAGAGTTAAACACTAAATAGTGCATCACAACAAAAAACAACAAAAGTCATCACATAATATAAAAAAGGGCACTAGCCGCACAAAGTGTCACTGAGTGAATCCAAAGGACGAGCTTTGTTACATTTGACACAAACTGTCTTGTATGTGTGCGGCAATTAAACAATATGTGCGGCATTTAAGCAAAACAATTTACATTTTAGCACATTTAAGCAAAATAATTGTGTGCGGCAATTAAGCAAAACATTAAAAGTTAATAAGAAATAGTAATTAAATAGACAACGATTAAACGAAGACAATAAAGTTAAGTTTCTTAAAGATATTGGAGACTGCATGCTCTGACATAAAAACTGTTTTGAAAGGTTACTGTTTTTGATTTGGTAATCTGAAGGAGTCCTGATGTTGAGCTAGATAGAGCGTCTGGTTACACGATTTGGTGCATTTAGTTTCACATTTTTGTCGGAATTTTCATAAATACATTTGTGAATAGATAAACAAGATCCAGGTATTCATGCCAGTAGGTAATTGGAAGAATGTTGAGCTTAGCAATGCTTTTAGGGTATGAAACATCAGATTCCGTTTGAAATGGCAGAGATAAAATAAACTTCGTGCTGCGACGCTGAACTCGTTCCAGGGTTTGAATGTCATAGGTGGTTTGGGGTGCCCACACTTAGCTACAGTAACCAAGCTGGCTTCTTACTAGGGTTAGATACAGGGTCTTTCGTACTTTAGGATCACTTGCATGAAAACACGATCTTTTCACGAACCCCAACATTTTGTTGGCCTTATTTGAGACCGCTTGGACATAAGCGCCGTATTCTAAAAGCTCACTCACACTCACACTCAATGAGTGGAAGTTCAATATGAGCTTTTCTCGAGTATCATTCAAAAAAAGGGTCGAAAAAATTTTTCCAGACATAAACCAGTTAAATTAAGGGTCAAAAATTTTTTCCAGACCAATATCGCTAAAATTAAGCTCTATAAATTCTATTCAATTCCCTCTGGAAGCCCTGTAAGTTACTTAATAACTCTCATTCTATCATTTAAAATCTTTGATTGCCCTGCCAATCCGGATGATTCGCCCTGCCAATCCAGATGATTCGTACTTTAGGGGGTGTCACCCCCCCCCCCCATACACCCCTCAAGTTTCGCCCCTGCTCGAGTGTGACTTGCTAGAGTTTGGATTTGATGTTGATGTTATAATTAACGATAGAAGGTATATAAACTTGTGAGAATGTTGTAGGCTTGTCAATGCATTCGTACACGGCGTTGCTGAACAATATGCCTGAAGGTAGACAATATTTTTCGCAATTGAAAAAGTCGCTGTTAACTAAATTGATGCGAAAGCACAAAGATCTTGTAGAAAGTGAAAAGAATGATTATAAAACCATACAACAGAAAAATAACACGTGGGAAGTTTTATCCGAACAATTCACTGATTCCCAGTCAGGTGTGACGAAGAGGGATTCGAAGCAGTTTAAAAAGTGTTGGGAAAATGTAAAGGCCGCGCCAAAAGTCAACTGGCGAAAGAGAAGAGAGAGGTGAAGTTACAGTAACTGGTGGCGGTCTTTCAACGTCGAAACAAGACGATGAAGCTGCTGCTGTTGCTTCTATCATTCCGGCCCAAATTGACAGCTTAAGTAATATGTTTGATGACGATAATTTTGAAATAGGTAAGACAATGTCAACTCGTTATGCATGCAGCTGTTATACAATTGCATAATCCGATCAATTAGTTTGAAATTTCTGAACAACACTTTGTAATCTATAATACTAGGGGTTACTATCGCAAGGAAAGTGCTGCTTTGGATCCACAGGCAAATACTGAAACCTCAAATATATCTGAAAACTAAATACAAAATTATTTTCATTTGGCTTAAAATACATTTACATGTACCCATCAGGGCAACCAAAAGGGGGGGGGGGGGAATTGGCCGAATGCCCTGGCTCCACCTTAATAGGGCCCCAACTTGAGAGCGAAAGCCTAAAATTGAGTAGGTTCTTTAAATTGGTCAGAGAATTTTTGAAATTTAGGGCCCCTTACAGTACCTCGACATGCAGTCTAGTTAAGGTCTAGTTGGGTCTAGCTAATTAGAAATAATGATTTAATGGGGCCCCCAGGGAAGATTTGTCCTGAGCCCCGCAAATTCTCTGGGAGGCCTTGGTACCCATACAAAGAAACACTGTATGTACGATTTATTTCATTTCAAAAATTGAGATTACAACACTTCAAAAACTGACTGAACAAAACTATTTCAAGTTTACAAACTAACATATTCAACATACGCAAATTAAAAGAAGAGAAGAAAGAAGAGACGGAAGAAGAGAATGAAGAAAAAGACATGTGGACTAAGTGCACAAAATACAAACATACAAGACACACACGGTAGAAGTAAACAGACACATAGACGGAAATGACGATGAACATAAAAGTACATGTCTTGAGCACAGACAGGCACGCAATTTGCATTTTTTTAAAGAAATAGGACTGGAAAATATGTCAGACTTCTCTTACATAGAACGTTACAGGGTTTGACAATACAATCTGAAAGAAAGAAAATTGAAAAGTACATGTAGTTGAACAGAGGAGTTTGAAGGACAGCACTAACAACCTGACTAAGTTATGTACAACCATGTTCAACAAAAGAAACAGGAGTCACAACTGTTCATGTTAATGTCAATATAGGGCCATTCCATTTAATATCCCCCCCCCCCCTCCCATGGATGAGGTCAGTAAAATTTTAACTCCCACAAAACCCTCAAAAATGTGTAAATTTTCCCCAATACCCCTTAGAAAAATTGCAGAGATCAAGGATGCCGACAGGCTTAACCTCTCAGAAACAACTTCAAATGTAGTCACCGTTCAGAAAAATCCATCCATGGGGGGTTGGACATTAAATAGAATGGCCCATAGTGTCTTGCCTCTGACATAACAGAGGAATAGAAGTTCCAAAGTCAATCTCTCTTTAAATGTCATTTCTCAACAATTATCCATTTCTGTCTATATTTTTTTGAAGTAACAATCCATAGAATATTTCGAGCTGTCAGGATGGCACGACTTGTCGGTGTAACTGTATAAATCAGCACATAAATTCCAATGACTTTATGCCTGTGTATATGCCTCAATTGACTCCACCACAAATATGGGACATAACACATTAACACATTTTACTACCAAGGTTCCAATGACCAGATGTCATCTGAAGTAACATAATTTGGAATGGAAATTAAATATACACTCTATAATCTATATATACTGACAGTTCACTGGATATTATAGAGTTCACTGACACTCGGATTGAGAAGATATTTCAGGATGATTGAATGAATACGAATATGCAAAATAAATGCAAAATAAATGCAGATTAATCTGTGTATTGTGCAATCATGATCAACTATTTAGACTCAATACGTTAACTGGCAAAAAACGAACATTCACAAAGTAAACAGAGCTTGTAAATATATATATATAAAATTGGATTTTACTCAACTTACCTCGAAACATGTAACTCTCTGACAGCTCTCCGAAAAAGGACTCAAACTCTCAAAGGAGTTCGGGAAGCATCGATAAAAAAGAACCGCACCCCCCACTTTTTATAATAACTTTGCATACTTAAATACCTCCGGTTTGAAAATCCGGACATCCATTTGAAAATGCAAGTCGAGATTTGGAACGGCTTTACATAACTCGGCCAAAGGCACTGGGCACGAGTGAATGCGAAGAACTTCATGTTACGTCAAGAATAGTGTGCTGCTTGCCTGAGGGCAAGCAGCAATTATCTCATTTACTTTATCGGGTTTTAAATGTATAGAAATCGATCGAGACGACGATGAAACGGATTTAGAGGCGACAACTACAGGTACGGGAACTGCACCAAACGAAAATGAATTGCTGCCATCTGTCGTTGACGCTGCCCTTACACCATCATTGACCAAAACATCACAAATATCCGCTGCCGAAGCATGCACGATGTTTGGACATGCAAACCAAGCAGCATGAAGCAGAGATGGAACTCCTGGTTTTGAAAAAAATAATCTAATAATTATACACAAAAGGAAAATGTAAGTGCTAGACGCTGATCTGCAATATTGGAACAGCTGGGAAATTTGTTGCGCATGCGCCAGATTTCCATTGAAACTTGAAGATTTCCCCGAAGAAATATTACGAGATGTTCGTGATTGTTGTATATTTTTGAATGCCTGTTTAATCTTTATAATTTTTCACGGCTTGAGACAAAGACAAAGTAAAATGTATTCTACGTTTCCAGTGTATAGAATATCTCGTTTGAACAGCACGGAATATTATAATCTTGACACAAACAAGAAGACATTTGACACGCTAAATCTGCAGTCATGCCTGAGGTATAAAAGCCAATCGTCGCAAGCTTGACAGCCTTATCAAACGCAAAACAAGTACAAATTTGGGTCCAAACAGAAAGAAGTTCAATGTTAATACAACTAACATATATTCTATACAAATACGGGTGGTTTAAAATGTTTTCAATTGAATTTTTAAAGCTTTTATCTATCGCTATGATATCAAACTGTGAAAATGCCGCAGTTTTGTTGACGCTTGCGAATGCAAAATAACTTCCCGTAAACAGAGCATTTCTGCACAAAACTCTCGCTTAGTCTTCTGATGCACTTGTACGTTCGGTTCTACTAGTTAAACAAGGAAAATATTCAAGAAACACTGGTAAATTATCGTTGTCAAAAAACATTTCCGTGCTGAGGCAGTACAAGGTCCCAAGGCCAAAGGCAAGGTCGTACATTTTACAGTACTTCGAATGTTTTCGAACTCTTGCTTCATACAAGGGCAGTAAACGGACGCATTTCAAAGCGAAATTAGACGCAAAGGGGCAATTTTTCAACAAAATTTATTGTTAAATTATGTTTCCTATGTGCCTTGGGAGCAAAAAAATATGATTTTAAATTTGGAGGAATCGGTAAATTTTTTTTCAATTTGGCCTGGTATTGCACCCTACCTATGTAATGACTGTGCTGTAAAAGTAATCAAATATACTATTTTGAATTTCCCTTCATTGAAAGGATCTACTTTTGTGGACTAAACTAAATTTTAATCAGCATACAAGGCTGCAAACAACAGCCAAGAATTAGCTGGGTAGTTTGCAAACTTTAAAAATAATTGGACCTCAAACTTTGATCCCCAAAAGTAAACAAATAGCCAATACTGCAAACATAATCCAAATTTTGACCACTAGGGGCAATTTTTAGATGTAAAAAAACTTGTTTAAATTACATATCAAACAAAGGCAAAACAAAATTTGGTATTAATTTTTTGGAGGAAACGTCAAGGTTTTTTGCTATCCGCGCACGCTTCTACACCCCCTCCCCCAGGACCTTCTCTATCAGAAAACAGTTTTCTGCAGAAACTATGCTTTTTATCGGGAAAATTTTTACTTTTCTCAAAAAAATACTGTATAAACACGGAAACCTTAAATATTTAAATAATTTTCATACCTTTTTGGGATTGCAAAAAGCAAAATTTGATTCATAATCACACTTTTTAAAATATATGTGACAAAGTTGCTTCGAAATCACTATCACGCAGTAGCATGTTTATTTACCCTCATCCTTTTGACTGAATAAAGTTTATCTTTTTGAAAGGCTATTTGTTTTATAGCTCTTGGTTAGCAGTTTACGTTTATGTCGATTTTGGCACCCATGAGACCAACAAGTTGTGGTAATCCGCGAATGAAAACTGATATTCGAAGAGCAGAAAAACCAACTCCTAGCTATGTAACTTTATCGCCTGAATTTTGAATCAATCCACAATTAAATTGCTGGTAATGTAGATGCTTTCCATACTTGAGATGTTAGTGAAGTTTTTCCAATAATTTAATTTCCTTGATCGCCGTCTTAAAAATGCAAAATCATAAGTTGAAATTTCACTCGTGTTGTTTTTTCAAATTTTCGAATTTTTGTAAAATATCGCGTGCGCCAGCAATTTCTCTGCACAGCGACAACAAATTTCCCAGCTGTTCAATATTGGGATAAGATGAAAAAGACAATAAAATCCACACAAGAGGAACTACATAAACCAAACACACGGGGAAGGAAGCAAAATTAACTTCAAAAATAACCTAATAAATTACAAAATGATTGTACGAGTATATTTTATTGCTTGTTCTGGCCATTATTGCGTTTTCAAATTGAATATGTTATTCATAATTTACGTAAAATGTTGCATTATCAGGGCTTGTCGTACCGCATTTCCCAAACGTCTTTCTCCCACATGCATGTCATCTACTTCTTCCTCATCGGTCAGAATATGTTCTGCCGGGTTCATCTATGGCATCATTTCGCCTTCTTAGGAAGTTATACAACAGCTGTAGCAACAATTATAGTTAGGGACGTTTGCAATTTTGTGCGAAGGGTCGTTGAAAGACATGGAAATAGCCTTTTCCATACGCCAAACATCCTTTCCACGGTATTTCGTGTACGTATTTGTGCAACATTATATCTGCGTTGCGGTCGGGTTTGCGGATCAATTACTGGTGTCATTAGATATTGGCGGCATGGATAACCGTTATCACCAAGTAATATACCCTGGATATCACCACGTTCAAACTGTGTAATATGCGACTATTGTCGAATATTCTGGCATCATGTACGCTACCTGGCCAACGTGCGACAATGTTTAAAATGTCTAAATTTGGCCCGCAAACGGCTTGTAGCCTACATTTATCGAGAAGTATCCTTTTCGATTTCTAAATAGTTCAGCATTTTCACCCCGGGGCAAGGTATTTTTATGTGTGTACAGTCAATTGCACCCACAACAATTGGGAATGCACAAATTCGCCAGAAATCAAGTTTGAGTTGATCCAAAATATCACCTTCAAGAAATGTTATGTAATTGTCCCTTAAGCGTGCGATTGCCTCGGATACTCGCTTTATAATTCGACTTGCTGATGCCTGCGATTGCGAAATCTCACCCAAATCTTCGCATGCTAGCTGGAATGTTTACTAGAAAGACCACAAAAAATTAGCCAATGAATTTAATGAATATTTTGCTTCTGTGGGGAAGATTGCAGCCGACATGGTCAAGAGACTTGCGGAAGTTAACAACATTCAGATAGCAACTGCTTTACCACCAGCAAGACACCGATCTTCTCTTGATCTGTTTGAATTTAGAACAGTCACACCTGATGAAGTTAGAACAATTATTTTAATTAAATAGTCCATCAAACAAAGTTCCAGGTGCCGATAAGATAAATATTCAATTCATTAAAGATTCACTTGAAGTGATTTTAGATCCTGTTACGGATATTATCAACTGTTCCTTGATATTATCAACATATCCTTCAATGTAGAAGATAGCAGAAGTAGTACCGCTACACAAGGAAGGGGATCCTGACCACAGATTATTGACGGAGCATCAAAGTGGTAACCGGAAAAAAACATTCTACCGAAACACTTTGCAGTGACAGACATTGCAGTGACAGACATGTTGTTGGAAGCTATGGATAATAAACAGTTATCTATAGTTATATTGTTGGATACTGTCGAAAGCCTTCGATAGTGTTGATCATAACATGCTTCTTCAAAGAATTCTAGACCTAGGCGTATCTTCTGAAGATGTTGTATTATAAACAACGAAACATTAGCTAATTAAATTTTTACTTTTATTATGTTTGGTTTTAAAGTTATTTGCTGGGCTCTGCTCTTTATCTTTAAACTAAGATTTCCGTCTGGTGTGTCAATTGCCACAGTGCATAAGTGGTTTAAAAGTTAATTGTCTGACAGATGGCAGTATGTTAGAATTGGAACTACCTCTTCGGTGCCTGTTGCATTGTCGTACGGAATTCCTCAATGCTCTGTTCTATCGCCGTTTTTATTTAATATATACACAGATAGCTTGTCTTCAGTTCCCAACAGTTGTAGTCTTGAATCGTACGTTGACGATTCGAAGACATTTTTATTGTTTTCATTGTCGCATATGGAACACTCGTTACTGCATATAGAAGAGGATCTACACAGAATTTTTGAATGGTGTTGTAACAACAGTCTTCTTGTAAACCCAGAAAAGACCAAAATGTTGGTAGTTGGTACACGGCAACTCGTGAATCAATTGGAATCTCCCATTCATATTAATTTTATGGGAGAAAATCTTACACCTGTTACAGAGGTTAAGGATTTGGGTATGCTTTTGGATTCCCATCTAACGTACGACAAACATATACAAGCATTGTCCTCATCGTGTGTCTCAAAATTGCGTCAGATTGGTCGCGTGAAACACAACTTTGATCAGTCAACACTAGCTACAACCATCGATACATTAGTCATGAGTAAAATTAACTATTGTTCAACAGTATGGTCTAATACGTCAGATGGCAACATCAAAAAGATCCAATTAATCCAAAATTGCGCAGCCCGATTAATTACAGGGGTGCCTAAGTATGATCATATAAGATAAGATAAGATAAGATAAGATAAGATGATGTTTAATAGCACAATTTCGCACATAAAGTGAAGTACAAAGTGCTTACATTAAAATACTATGATAATATAAGATTATTTACAATGGTTGTTAGGACAAAGTTAAAATCAAGTCTCACCAGTCTCTGTTTACTATTAGCAATATTAATTGTATTTGGGAAAAAGCTATTTTTAAATCGATCAGTTCGACATTTAATTTAATTTAATTTATTAACTTTGCCAGATTTAAACAACGTTAACACAAAAAACTGGCAGGGCAATCGCAACAGCTTGCGCCAATTACTGCGATCCCTAAATGTTAGACAAATACACTATATACGTACATAGAAAGAATCAATTACTAACGAACTATCAGATGCAACTCTTTTCACATTGCGACCCGCAGAACCACTTCCATTTTTGGAAGCTGAGTCAGAAGACGTTTGAAACCCTCACAATCCTAAACCTTCAGCAAAACCCTGAATAGGCCCCATAGATACCAATGTGAAAAGGTACTTCTGAAAACTAAATCTAAAAACAACACTTTATCGGCCTTGTCAGGTCGCGAGCTTGGTTGCATTTTAAGCAAACCGATTTCCATGTTCGTGGATCGTCAACGTCATAACATTTATCTAGTGCTGTTTTATAATAGATTAATAACTTATTTTTAAAGTCCTTTAAAGTTGCCATGCTATTAATAGTTAAATCCATTGGCAGCGTGTTCCAGACTCTAGTAGTCCTTATTAGATATGATTTTTGATAGGTAGATGTTTTGCATGCTGAAGTCTGAAATTGTAGGCAGTTAGGGTTTGTAGATCGGGTACGTTGACTTGAATTTTGAGGGTGAGGTAGTATGTCGCTGCTTAGGTTAATAATGTCATGGTGTGATTTGAAAAGGAACAATATGTCTAGGTACTCGTGCCAGTAACACAGAGGTAGTAGATTTAATGTTGAGAGACGATGGTTATAGTTGATGTCACAGAAGAACGGTAGGTTCAATATGTACTTCGACGCACGTCGTTGAACGCGTTCTGTACGCTTAATGAGGTCAACAGTTTGTGGAGCCCAAACTTGGGACGCGTATGCGAGGTGGGAACGAACGAGGGTAAGATATAGAGTCCGACGAACAGAGATGGTCTTGATTTTGATCGTGGACCGTCGAATATACCCGAGGGATTTGTTGGCTTGGGCGCACTGGTGGAGGACTTGTTTCGACCATGTGAGAGTGGAGGAGGTCCAGACGCCAAGGTCACGTTCGCAATCTGTGGTTTTCAGAGCGGAATCTTGCAACTTGTAAGTATGGTCGATTTTGTTGCGTTTTCTAGTAATTCGAAGTGTCTTACATTTATCTGTGTTGAGGAGAAGATTAGCATTGGCAGAGGAGGTTTGGAAATTCGCAAGATCATTCTCCATAGCGGATGCATCAGCCTTCGCGTTTATCACCTTGTAAATCTTTGTGTCGTCAGCAAACGTCGCGATCTTCGAGTGGTTGATGGAGTTGGGGAGATTATTCTGATATAATAGGAACAGCAGCGGTCCAAGGATTGAGCCTTGTGGAACTCCGGAGGTTACTGGTAGTGCTGATGATGTTGCACCAAGTACTGTAGTCTGCTGCCGACGGTCCTTGAGGTAAGATCTAAACCAGTTAAGAATATTGCCACCGAATCCAAAATCACGAAGTCGTTTCAACAGTTGCATGTGACTTACTCGATCAAACGCCTTGGACATATCCAAGTAGATCACATCAACTTGTTTCCCAAGATCCAGCTCACGACCAATATACTCAAAAACTTCAATGAGCTGTGTAACACAGGACTTCCGAGGAACAAAGCCATGTTGACCATTGTTAATCTGTTCGAAAACGTGGTCTTTGATCTTATTGAACACGCATCTTTCCAATGCTTTCGAGATAAGCGAAAGAAGCGAAATTGGTCGATAGTTTTCTACGTGCTCTTTGTTGTCTTTTTTGTGAACGGGAACAACATTTGCTAGTTTCCAGTCGCGTGGTAACACACCAGTGTTCAGAGATTTATTAAACAAGGCGGTTAGTGATGGAGCAATTTGGCGAGCTGTTTCTTTTAATAATCGTGCAGGAATCCCATCTGGACCTTGGGCTTTGTTAATGTCGAGGTTATGCAATACGGAGAAAACATCGGCTTCCGAAAGGGTAATGTCCTCGATGATAGTATTGTTAGACTGATATGGAAGAGCGTCAGAGCTGTAGTTTTCGATATTTGGATCGGTGGTAAATATAGATGTGAAGTAGTTGTTGAACAGCGCAGCAATATCTGCTGGATTTCCTGCGGATGTTCTTTTGGTTTCAGTTACTTTCACCGAGAGCTTTTGTCTGAGGAATGTTCCGTGTCTTATTATTGAACTTGAACAGGGACCAGAAGCGTTTGGGATTAAGTCCACGACTGGAACAAATAGAGTCGAAATATTTGGAGCGACTGTTACGTAACATACTCTTGATGGAACTACGAAGGGTTTTGAATTTTTCCAGGAGATATTCAGTAGGTGTAGGGGATTTCTTAATTCTGAGGCGGAGAGAGTTTTTCTTCTTGATGTTGTGTAGAATTGTAGAATTCATCCACGGTACATAGTTGCGACCCTTTACTCTCACTGATGGTATGTGTTGGGATACTGCTTCTAGGAACGCCTTCTTCCATTGTTGCCAGTCGTCGGTTGATATTGTCGTCGGTTGTAATCAGGGAATCCAGATTTAGACATTCAAAGGAAGTTAGTAAGCCAGCAAAATCACCTTGACAATAATTATAGACAGTTCTGCGTATCTTTGGTAGTTGATTATGACACATTGAAAGTTCAAACACAATAATGTTGTGGTCGGTGAAAAGTTCTGCTTGAGTGGGAGACAAAATTTCACATATTTTGACTTTGTTGGGAATATTGGTTAGAACGAGATCTAACGTGTTATTACCTCTAGTAGGCGCGGTGTTTAGTTGTTCCAAGAAATGGTCATGGAGCAGTTCTACGAAGGTATTTTCGTTACTACCTGATGTTTTCTCTGGCGAGTCCCATGATAAAAATTGGGAACGCAGCCTATTGGGGGGCAAATTCAAGTCCCGGATATAAAATCGTGCTCTCATTGGCTGATTTGAAACTCGTCACCAATGGGAACGTGAATACACATCCGGGGCTTGAATTTGCCCCCCAATAGCCGCGTTCCATCTTTTTTACTGAATTAAGATTACAACAACAACAACAACAACAAATTTTATGAAGCACTATTAACAATTACAAGGGAAGTATTTACAAAAACGAAAATTAAATAACAGTATAGTGCAGGGCAACTGTACTAACCGTAGGGGCTAATCGAGACAGTTGTCCTTTAAAACGACAAGTATATAAACATAAAGCATAATTAAAGAGGCAGATTTGACAAATAAATAATACAAACAATTAACCAAAGCTCAACGAATTACAACAAAAATACATTAAACAATAAATACTAAACAATGTATGACCCATTTACTAAATTGTAAATTCACCTTGTAAGGCAAAGACTAACCATCATAACCAGAAATTACTTGTTGTTTTAATTTACGTTTGAAGGATAATGCCTCCTCTAGTGTTATTTATAATCTCTATGGTCTCTACCCGTATGAGTTGATTGACTATGCTGATTGACTATGGCAAGCTTCCAGGTGTTTCTTGGTTTTTGATCTTCCTTTACAATCACGATCCCTCCAACTTTGGGATGTTGCATTGATTTTGGTTTGGTTGGTCATTCGGTGTTGCTTACGAAGACCACGTACATATTCTCTGGTCCATCGATTCCACATCGCTTTTTTGCATTTTAGCAGATGTGTGGCTCGCTTTCTCAGATCTTTCTCTTCGATGTGGTTGATCGATCGACATGTTTGCTAAGAGACTGTTTAGTTTCTCATCTTGTCTTACTTGTTGAATTCATTTTGCGGCGGCTTTAAATGTCATTGCATTATCGGAATAAATTAACTTTGGTTTTCCTCTCCTCGCAATGAACCTTTTGAGGCTCATGATGAACACTTTCGTATCCAACGATCTCACAATATCAAGGTGGATGGCTCTTGTTAGGCTATACAAGTATAAAGCACAAGATATGACTTAGCTTCCTTCTTCGACTTTGTTACGTTCTTGATAGGTCCGGGAAAGTCCACCCCGATCACTTCGAATGGTACTGCGTCTTGTCTTCTCGTAGTTGGTGACCTCTCTCTCTCTGCAGGTTGTCGTTTACAATTCAGAATGAACCTCGAACCCACGCTGCAATTCGTAGCACTTTCGGTAAAGGATATTTATCTAGTAGTGGATCCAAGATGTCTTCTTCAATGTGTGCAGCTTTGAAGATTTCTTTAAAAGGTGGTCTTACACAAAAAATATATATCTTCTTTAAAATGCTTACTTTGTTATGTGAAATATTCAGAAATAATAAACAAAGTTTTTCTTACACAAAAATATACTTTTCGGACAAATCCGTTACCATGGTTACGATATAATTGGCCCCACAGGGGGTAAAATGGCCAATTTTTAAAACACGTTTAAAGAAAATCTAACCAATAAAAAAACTTCAAAACAGTGTTTTTGGATAAAGGTTATCAATATTTAGGTTCTAGACCTAAAAAATCCTGCATTTATTATATGATGGACAACTTCAGGCTAAAAACTTAAAATTGCTGCCTTGGACTCTTGGTCGAGCGGCTATAAAGTTGCCAAAATGTACAAAGTCCAGAATATTTTAGGTCTAGACCCTGAAGCAGTAGCAAAGCTAAAAACTGGAGAAGTTTCATTAGCAAGTGTTAAATACAACTTCATATATTGTGTTTTAAATTTTGCGACTACCAGAAATATGCAGTATTGAGAAAAAGCCTTGTAAAGTTTTCGTAACATGTTTCTTCTCTAATTTGATGGAATATTCAAACAGCTGTCTATATGTGACCAACATTGTTTTGATAAACTATTAAAGTTTTTCAATCATTAAAATGACCCTGGAGCATATGTAACACCTTCTTTCTCTTCGGCTTTGTCACTACGATGCTTCCGTGCTGCTCTAATTATTTTCCTGCGTACTTTTATCTCCTGCTTCGCTTTGTAATTTGCCTTGTGTACTCTTACAAGGTCTGTGCAACTCATCTCCTTTGTGCATAACTTCCCTGGTTCTATTCCTGCTTCCTTCAAAATATTCAATGATGCTTGGCAGCCAATATTGAAGGTTGCTACCGCATTATAAATGCCAAGATGCAGGGTATCACTTCCGACAAAAACAGTCTTCGGAAGATTATCCCAAATCATTCCATTAAGGGACTCATTTTGGTTTTGAGTCTTTCCATCAAGGCACTTATCCAATAAGCTATCTTCACTAAGCCTTTCAAAGACTGGCTTGACTACTTTGAGTACATCTTTTGGGAGACCGGGACCTGCTTTGTATTCATTTGTGCTGTTAGCTTTATCCTTCTTGAACTTGCACCAACTTTCTGGACCATCAGGGCAATGGACATGGTAATTATTCTCCTTGGATGAAGCACAGTGGAAAAATGCCGCATGAATTGCTTTCTTCATGTTCTCTTTATTGCCAATATTGCTTCTAACAGCAATACCATAATAGTTTTGTAAGCGATCAATCATTGCATTGGTCAGCTTCCCTTTTCCACCCAAACCTTTTGTTTCCTTCTTTAATTTCCTCAAAGCAGTACCCACTCTTTTTTGAACATCACCAACACACTCTTTCTTTACTACAGTGACACCCTTAGCTTCATATATATTTTCTACTTCACTAAACGCTTTGCTATCTCCATCCCCAAAATATTCTGTGTACTGCAGCTTATGTTTATCTTCGCTTCTCGCAAAAATATTTTTAACTCCGGTTGGCTCCATTGATGATGCAGATCCTTTAAAGTTAGCTTCACACTTTCCAATATGATCAGCCTCAAGAACTTTTTTCTCCTCAGGATCTATGGTCTTATTTATTCTTTGACAACCATGACAAACTTTGCTCAGGATATCGATGTCGAGACATTTCCCTGTTTGCATGGAAAGAACAGTGACACATCCATTTAGAGATGAGTATCCTCTTTTTTGCCATGTACCATCACAGGAAACACTGCACTGAGAAATGCCTTCACTGTTACCACAGATTTCAGCTGCACCGTCTGCCATAGTCTTTTCAGCGACCGTCTTGGCTGCCTTGAGAAGAGCTTTGTTATGGCGGTGGTAAGCACTGGGCCTTGGAGGTGCAGGCATGTCCATAAGACCACAAAACTTCTTGGCTGCCTCTGCTCCTTTGCCAATAGATCTCATTGAATATACAATTCTCCTGTTTACTTCATAATAGTTCTTGATTTTTAATGAAGTATAAAACGAATGTTGCCAACCACATGAAGCACAACGCATGTTTATTAGTGAGGTACAACCTTTTCTTTTAGAAAAATCTTCAGTAATATAAATATGTTGCTCACCACAACTATTACAACCTAAAAGCCGTAAAACATTGGCCAATACGACCATACTAAACACGCTATAGCCAGATATAGATGATTCTCTACAATTTTCTTCTCTAATATTTTCCAAACGTACCTTCTTTGCTGAACCTGACTGCCCCTCTATAATTTCAAAATTTCTGCCCGAGTTATCACACTCCAAAGGTTCTGTGTTCTTTTTCTTAGTAAACTGGTTTCCGTGATACTTATATTTGCGTTTTCTTTGATGACTTCTAGTCATTTTGTAAAAATATCACAACAAATGTTGACCAACAGAGCAAAATATTGTTGAAAATATACCTTCGAAAGGTTTTGAAATAAACATGCTCACATTGCAGACAGCAAACAGAACATCCAGCGGTTATTTAGAAGGTGTTCAGCTATACTTTATGTAACAATAAATTAAGCCAGCCCGATGTTATTTGAAACCAGAATAGAAAATAGAGTCGTTGCTAAGGACGTTGCTATGAAGAAAAAAGCCAATACCAATGGAATTTGTTAAATTTTAGGCTTTTGCACTACGATTTCGACCAAATAACTTACATAATCGGATTCTGGGATATTTTAAGTACTAGAACACCATCTTTATGAAAATTTACAAATTTCAAATTTTTTTAATCACCTTCGCTTCTGATTTGCTATCTGGTGTTGGTCCAGAACTGGTTGAACTGGCCATTATGCAAGATTGTTTAACCATGATGGACCCTCTTTCCACAACGTGTTCCCGGAGACCTTTCCTTCCCGACTTCCGATGTCGGCTGGATTTTCCGCTGTCGGAACGTGATACCAAATAACGTTCTCGTGCTGACGAATCTGTTGTACTCTGTTGTACTCTGAGCTCAAGACGTTGAATGGCCAAGTTCCGCTTCGCAGTAGTTTCCCATCGGGCTGTTCGATCCCTGCCAGTTGCCTTAGTTCACTTATCTCTGACGGCGATTTGTTCTTTGGCTCGAGTTCGGGTGCATTCGAGTTATTATTATTATTATTATTATTATTATTATTATTATTATTATTATGAACTATATTTCAACACGGTACAATTTCACCTATACTAAAATTAATTATGTACAAGATATAAAAAGAAAAAAAGGTGATCTTCCAACCGGCCGTGCTCACACAAACAGAAATAAGAAATAATTACACGAAAACTATTTTAGGTAGATGGAAACAATGGCAGGATCACTTGATGTTAATTTCCATGCTTCAAGTTAGATTTAAAATTAGCAGTAGTTGTTGATGCTTTTACCGATGCAGGAAGGCAGTTCCAGACTTCCGCACCTCTGTAGGAGAATGCATTTTTCATACTATTTGTTTTTGGTTTAGGCAATGTCAAATCGGCTCCCGACTGTCTTGTGTTATGGTCTTGTACATCACCAACATTTGTGAACATATCACACAAGTAATCGGGGACCAATTTGTTTTTCACTTTGTACATGAGAATTGAAAGTTGTTGCATTCTTTTTTTTTCGAGGTTCGGAACTTTTAGCTTGTTTAATATATCAGCCGATCGTGCCGTATAATTCTCACGAGTGATTATTCGAAACGCTCTGTTTTGTAATTTTTGGACTTTAGCTGCTAATGTTTTTCCTAAGCAACCCTACATTTGAGCACAGTAATCGAAATAAGGTTGAATTATGGATTGGTATATTGTTATTAAGGTATTGAATTCGACTGTATCCCGGAGTCGTCTGAGAATAGCAAGGCCTGAAGTGACCTTTTTTGAAATGTGTTGCGATCTGGGCGGTCCAGTCTAAAGACTCGTCTATCATTAGGCCCAATGATTTTGTCATTTCAACTCTCTTAATTTCTAAATTACCTACACTGATAGCAGGATCGGCAGTCACTTGACTAAGCCTTTTCTTGGAACCAGTTATCATATATTCGGTTTTACTATTGTTCAGAGTTAATTTGTTTGCGGACAGCCAATTTGCAACATTGTTTAAATCTCTATTTAATGTTTCAGTGATAACTTTGATATCGCGTCACTTGATTTTGCAATTTGGGTATCATCCGCAAACATATCTGGTTTTCTCCCGGCGTTTAAACATTTTGGTAAATAATTGATGTAAATTAGAAATAACAATGGGCCTAAACCAGAACCCTGCGGTATGCCATAATTGATGGACTTCATAGTTTGCCATTCACACAACAGCACTGGGTCCTATTTGATAGATACGACTCCAGCCAGCGATGTGCCGTTCCCTTTATTCCATAAACTGCTATTTCGTCTAAGAGTATATTGTGGTCGACAATATCGAATGCTTTTTTCAGATTCAGAAATACAATCGCATTTAGTTTCCCAATGTCAATATTTGTATACCACTCGTTGGTTATGTCCAGTAATGCTGTAACAGTTGAGTGAAGTGGTCTATATCCGTGTTGGGAGTTTGAAAGTAGATTATAGTTTTGTAAATAATTATAGATTTGCAATTTTGGCAACTACTGATATAACGGATATTGGTCTGTAGTTTGTCATTTCATCTTTAGCTTCAGACTTAAAGATCGGAGTAATTCTAGCGATTTTCCAATTATTGGGAAATATGCCTGTTAAGATTGACTGGTTGAATATTGATGTTAGGGATGGTGAAATAACTGCTGTCGAAAGTTTTAAGATACGAGAGGAGATACCATCGATTCCCGATGCTTTATTGGGCCCTAAACCATGAAGTAGAGTCAAAACATCATTTTCTGAAATTTCTTGAAAGCTAGGGAGCCCATTAGCTGGATGGTGTACATCACTGAGAAAACTATCCGGTAAAAAATTCGATTGAGGAATTTTATTCGCAAGTTTTTCCCCTAGTTCAACAAAGTATTTATTAAAGGCATTAGGGATCAGCGTTTCGTCAATTACTTCACCATTCTCATCTTTCATTTCTGGGATTTTATTATTAGTTGACTTTCTATTCATCAATTAGTTGAGTGTTTTCCATGTTTGTTTTAAATTTCCTGAATTGTTATGTAGTTTGCCTCGATAATAGGAGCACTTTGTACCTTTCATTTGCCTATTGTATTGGTTTTTTGCCTTTCTGTAGACAGGCCACTTATGTATTGTGAAAATGGCATCGTCCAAAAATTCGATAGTTTTCTCCTTCTGGGTCTGGATTTTTGCGATTGTGGTACTCCCTGTAATGAAATCATCAACATTTTAGAAGCGTAATTGCTTCACTATCTCGGGATAGCGATCTTCCCAATCATCCGGATGGTGTTTAAGGACTTCCCCGAGAAGGAATGGGGAGCAAGTCAGTCCAGACAGGACTCGAGTAAACCGGTAGATTTGTATTGAATCGTTTCCAGTCTTTCTCCAGTGAAATTGCAATGAATCTCGATCATCGGTCCTAACATCATTTCGATTTGTTTTGTTTTGACAGCTTTTGGTTTTCTCTTAAATGCATTGGGTAGACTTCTGGAAGCATAGGAGCTTCCAGCTCTAGTATCGAGCAGTGCATGTGTCTTAATCCCGTCTACCTCAACCATCACCACTGGATAAATAACTTCATTATCCCCCCGGTATGAGTTGTTTTCGCTATCTCATGCTCGTCTGCTTTGAGTGCATCACAAATTGACGTATGATGACGTTCATTACAAAATCGACACTTCGAGACAATCTTATACTCAACTGCCCTATGAGAGGGCCCTGTGCAGTTAAAGCACAGCAGAGACTTTTTCCTGTCCTCGAATGTTAAAATTGTGTCACACTCAGCAGATCTATGGCTCTCAGAATTACAATATATACACTTTCGACAACTTTTACTTATCTGAAATGAATTCTGTTGCGTTGAGAACTGATAACCGCCTTGTCGCCGCTCTTGTTTCTTTCTCCCATCATCTGGTTTCTGTGCCTCGACTGGATTACTTCGAGTCCAAAGTTGCAATGCTTCGGTTAGTTGAATGTAGTCCCATTTCTCTCAATCTATTCGTTTCATACTAAATCACCCCGTATGTTTGGCAATTTGTTGCAACAGTTCCAGTCACAACTCCCACTTTTTTCAATGTCTCTGTGACTGTACTCAATATGATAACTTCTCATAAAATTCATGTATTCTTGTAGGATTTGATGTTGCTGTATGTGGAAGTTCGAGAATCTCCTTGACATACGTTTTTACTATCTCACTTTATTTTCCAAATCTATCCTTCAGAATTGAAACCGCTCTGTTGTAACCCTGTGCAGTAAATGGAAGAGCCTCGGCCGCACGTTTTGCTTTGTCGCATATATAGCAACTCTGAACTCTTCAAATATGTGAATTTTCGTTACGGGTGGTACATTTGTTTTATCAATAGTCCTCAATATCTCGACAGTCTCCATACGATCCATCAAATATTGTAATTGTCTATTTCGGCAGTTTAGCTTGCAAATTATATTTGGGACAGAAATGTCACTTGACATCGCTGGTTCTTTTGACTCTTTGCTTATTTGCGGAGCTTGTAATTTCATCTTGGCCTCACGAAGTTCAATTTTCATTTTCTGAACGCTATATTCACGTTTCTCTCGCGTTTCGTTCAACCACTGTTCTAAAATATTTGTTTTCTCGTCGCCCTCGTCTAATTTTCCCTCAATTTCACCGATCCATGTGTCAATCTCGTCACTGTTTTCCTTTGCTGTAATTTTCTCTGCTTCGATCGTTCGTACTAGTTTATTGACTTCGTTTATTATCTTTCTCAATGTCTCGACATGTCTCTTGATAGCACTCTCTTTTGCAGCTTTTAATATTGTTTTTTGTCGCCAATTCAACACTAGATTTCAAGTCGTTTTCTTCTGTCATGTTGCTTTTATGTATTGACTATTGTATTCGTTGTTTATATAAAAAATCTCCATAAAACCCGGTCGGAGGTGCCAAGTCCTGAATTTTCGCCTCCTTGAGAAATAACAATAACTAAATAATAATAACTTTATAATAATTATTTAGTAATAATAAAATACAAATTTCTCTCACTGATTTCTCACTGTTTTTCTCTCGATGATTTCTATCGCATCCGTGTGAGTCATGTGACTCATCACAAAAATGTCAATGTTCGCCTTGGCTTCGTAAAGTTATTAATTTAATAATTTAATAAAATTACCGATTTGTAACCTTTAGGTTAAATTACATCAGTAAAAAGTCTCATTATACTACAATATGAATATCTAAATGCATAAAATTATTCATAACTTCAATTGAAAAAGTTATAGAGTTCAAATTTAAAAATATTAAAATTATGGTCTATTCATATGTGAAACCATCTGTGGAAAAAACGATTTCATAAATCTGTCCGTTTTACAACTATAGTTATTATAATCGCTTCCATGACGTGTATTATAGTTATGTTCAATTAAGTTTAGGCGGTAAGAGGTCACCCAATTTGTCTCCATGTGCATTTTTAACAAAAAAACGTTCGCATAATAATCGCCGCCAATCTTTCAGTAAGGGTATACCAGTAATACTGCAAGCTTCTCTGTAAGTAGCGAATGGCAAGACAATACGCAGAGCCCGCTTCTGGAGTTTTTCGATATCTTCACTTAGGTATTCTGTAATATTGAAGTGCCAAACTTGGCAGGCATATTCGAGTACTGGTCTGATAATGGTGCAGTATACCAAAATTAGAATGCTATTGTCGGCATTTGATCGTTTTAACAACCTTAGCATATAAAGGCGTTTTCCCGCTTTTTTAACAATATGGTTCACATGCTCGTTCATTTCAAATCATCTTGAATTGAAAGACCAAGACTTTACCCGCTCAATACCAACGTTATTTATAGTTAACGGTAAGAACTCATGTTTTTCTCTTGCAAAGTCAATTACCATTTCCTTACATTTGCCGATGTTGAGCTTCATATTATTAACTTCACACCAATTATAGATAACATTCACTAGATCTTGTAGTTCACTACTCTCAGTTGATGTAACTCGTTCAGCAAACGTACTGTCATCAACATACTTCCATCTATCGCTCCAATCAATAAGAAGATCATTTATCATAACAAGGAACAAAGTCGGCCCTAACACCGACCCTTGCGGCACTCCACCGTTTAACGTTTGCCAGTCCGAATGACAGTTAGCCAACTTGACTCGTTGTTTACGATCAGAGAGAAAACTTCTAATCCAATTTATAATGGTTTGGGAAACACTCATTTGTTGTAGCTTATTCACCAGTATGTTGTGATCAATTCGATCAAAAGCTTTTTCAAAATCAAGCAAGAATACTCTCACCGCATTGCTTGAAGCATCTGTAGCACTCAGGAGGTGATGGGTCAGGCTCAGTAGGGCATGAGTAGCCGAGGAATTTTTAACGGAGCCAAACTGCCGCGTATCAATCTTTGCACCAATTGACTTAAGTAACCAGTCTGTAACAAACCGTTCGCAAATTTTAGATAAAGTGGTGGTAAGTGAGATAGGGCGCAAATCTTTAGAAATGTCTTTAGGGACTGATTTTTTTGGAACAGGGATAACGTTCGCTTTTTTCCACATTGGGGTACAACTGCTTCTTGAATCGAAGCGTTGAAAATCGATGCCACAGGGGAAGAAAGAACATATGCATACGATTTAAGCACCCAATTAGGTATTCCGTCAGGACCAGGTGATTTGGAAACGGGGATGGCGAACAATTTACAGTATACATCTTTTTCTCCGATAATAAACTGTGGGAGGATACTTGTACTGCCATTTTCAATTAGGTCATCAACTGGAGACTTATTCAAGGGAGGAATATCTTGGGTAGATGAGACAAAAACATCATTGAT